GTGAGGTAAAGAGTTTAGAGGCTAGTAGGTATTAATTTCTCTAATCGAACAGTAATTATCTATTACGTTTATAAAATTATTTTAATGCATTTATTCTTTCAGTAAGTGTTTACGGCCACCTGCTGAGTCAGGCGTTGTGCTAGGCTGAGGCTGCGGTTATAGACAACAGACGTTCCCTTTGCCGCCCACCGCGTAGGGGAGAACGGAAGACAGCAATGGCACTGTGCTGCGCGAGCAGAGTTTTGGAAAGTGTGACAGTTGAAGTAGGGAGGGGGCTATGGGAGTGTCCGGCTCTCTCTCCAGGTCCTTCCCAGCGGCTCTGTGGTAAAAGGGAGGCTAGGTGCAGTTACCTCTGATTTTACAAAACAAACAAACCAACCCGCATTCTGTGAAACAGAGTCACTTTCCCGGCGATCACTGAGGCAGGAGGTTGCAAAGTGGAGACGGACACCAGATTTCCTTCTTTACTCCTAGACCCGTTTCCTGACGTCCGCCACCGCCGCGGCCAACGCTTCATGTCGAGCTTGACACCATTTGATGAAGGTGGCGAATCCTTTGAGTTCTGTAATTGGTGATTAAAAGCCCAACTTGGTTTTGTCGGAAGGGTCACCCCTGGGAACATCCACATCTCATAGCACAAAGCAGAACGTTCTGTTTCCACTCAGCATTGCACTTGAACAGCAGCCCAGACGCCTCTGGAAGACATTCAGGCTCACAGCACACGGGGATGCACTTTAGCCCCCAGGAACCCTTCTTTGACGCGGCCACGCTTTTACATGCCGGGCCGTGGGAGGCGCCAGAGGAGCTAACGGAGCGTGGGAGGAGCCTGGCGCCCGGCGGCGGGTGGGGGAGGGTGGGGGCAGGGGGCGGAGGACAGGAGGGGCACCTGAGACCTGAGACGTGCCAGTGTCAGGCTGTCGTCCAGGTGCAACTGGCCCTCCGCGTCCCGCGGTGCCGCCGCACCAGGCCTGGCGCCTCCCAGGGTCTGGGCGGGGGCGGGGGACCTGTGCCGGGGACGCGGCCTCTTCCTGACGCCTCCCGTGACCCCGCTGGCGTCCCGCCGTTCCTGCTAGGAGTTTCTGTCTTGGCGGAAGTGTTGCCGCGTGTCTGAGGTGTGAGAGGCAGCGTGCAGGACACGTAACACGTAACAGGAAAAGGAGGGAGAGCCGGCCCGGGGGTCGGGCGTGTGGCTTCAGAGGCGCCCTGGCCACCTGGCCACGGTAACCTGGCAATTTTCTTCACCTCTGCCGGGTTGATTCCTACCTCCCAGGGTCGCGAGGACTCAGGAGGTGACGTGTCTGGCCCGCGGCACGTCCGATGTTAGCAGCACTCGTGCAACCCAGGTGCCGAGAGGCCAGACGGTGTGGTGGCCGAGAGCGTGCGGCCTGGAGCCAGGACTCTGGGCCCCGGGAGCACCTGGCAGACCCGACAGAGGGGGGTCCTGAGCCGGTGTCTGGCTCAGGGAAGCGAGGAGGGGGTGCCTGGTGGAGCGGCTGGCACAGCACCCGGCACGTCGTAAGGGTGTATAAAATGTCACTTATTCTCGATGTGTGTTATAAAACAGCACTTCCTGTCACATAGAGGGGCCTAAGTGAATGTCAGTTGCTTGTCTTTGCTGCTCTTTCTGCTGACGTGTCTGCCCCTCACTGTATTCCAGTGGTAGATTTCAGATGCTCTAGAATTGAGGTATAAATAAGACTGAAGATTTTGTGGCAACCACATGTTTACCACGCGGGTGGCCTGCAGAATCATCTTTACTAGGTAGCTTGAGTGATTAGGTACATTAAGCATTCGGTGTGTTTGCCAAACTTAAGGTCCTAAAATTTCTCATAGCCAGTAGGTTACTCAGTTCATGTCAAATTCTGAGACCAGTAGCTGTTGAAGGTATTTTAGTAGCTAGGGGTATACCTACCACTGATTTTAAATTTATACAGATACAGTAGAATGATTACAGCTGCAGAGAAACTAAAGAAGACGGTTAATACCTCATTTGTTTCCTAGGATTCTCTCTACCTCTATGAATAGAGTTTGAGCTTCATATTTTCTATATTTGGAGTTGAAGAGCTGCTTTGTAAAAGCATAGGTTTATTGTTTGAATTTTCTATTAAGAATAACTTTAGCCTTCGTTGTAAATGAACTTGAAATTGTCTGACTCAATCTTTCACTTGGCATTTTGTAGGAGTCCACTAAATGTGGATGTTTTTGCCACCGGAATAAAAAAGATGAACAGTAATGATAAAGACATAACAGAATTACAAGAACAAATTCACAGACTTCTCTTACAGGTAAAGTGAGAGATTTTTAAAAAACAAACATAATATTCCCATAATTGTCTTTAATTTTAACATTCAGTCTTAGTAAAGTCACTTCACAGAAATAAACCGTGAGGAGAGAGAAATCCTTACCCTTTACGTTCCAGAAATTTTTGTCTTCCTCTTTTTGTTTTCAAATTAAATTTCATTAATCTTGTTTTCCTTTTTTCTGTGTTAAATATACAGGACTTTTTTGTAAGAATCCAATTTAAGACGACAGACAGAGTCATAGGAAGCAATAAGATAGAGAAGTTATTTCTAAACGAGAGAATCATTCTTGTATTCCAGACGCTGCCAGTGTTTTGGCTTCAATATTTTTTAAAAATAGTTACAGTTTTAAAGGTGGGGAGAGGGGTGGCAGGTCTCTGTATCTCTAGTCATTATGAGTCAAAGTAGGAAAAACGCCTTGTTGAAAACAAATACCAAAATGCTTTCTACTAGAGAGTCAATCAGTAAACTTGTCAAGCATTTACTGATGGTGTCACTAAAACTGTTACCCAGTAGTGTTCAAAATGTCTTTCATACAGTCTCTAGAGTTCGTAAAGTATCTCTGAGGTTCTTGGGGAAAAGTACAGTATATATTTAATTTGTTCTGTCTATTCCAAACTCAGCATAAAGAGTTAGAGTTTATTTTCATGTTTTGTTAAATTTATTTACTATGGCTTTTAAAACATTTGTTCTAGAAATACCCACCTAGACTAGAAAAGTAGGTTCTGCCCTTGAGAATTACTGAGATGAGAAAGGAATGTCTTTCATGTCAGCATCATCCTTCACACACCTCATTTAGGATTTCAGAAATTTTCATCTTAATTTTGTGATGACTGTAGGTAAGCTCAGAGGTAGGTAATGCTGTGTCTCTCCTCTGACGGCCACATCACCCGGGGCTGCGACGGGCCCCTCTCTCTTGCAGCCCGTTCACGGGAGCGCATCCAGTGGCTATGGGAGCCTGGGGAGCAGCGGGTCTCAGGAGCATCACCTCAGCATCGCATCCTCCAGTGAGTCCAGCGAGCGCTGCGCGGAGGAGGTGCAGAAGGCACCGGTGAGCGAGCACACGTGTGCTTCTGAGCACGTGTCCTTTTCTTCCTGTGTCGTTAACCGTAACATGTCGGTGCTGGTTCTGTACCTCGACACATGTGACTTCTTAGTTCTCGTCTGGAAGATCTGATCTGGTAATAGACATTCTGATCCATTCCGGTTTGGGAAAATGTCTCTAAAAATAAAATATCACCTTTAGAAGGTGATATTTGGGTCAATTGTGTGCTTCCTAAAAATTAGCATGTTGTGGACAGATTGCTGTAAAGCTTCACTGCTCCTCGTGTGCTGTGGTGCAGCGGGAGACTGAATTAATGCTATTACTGTGCTTTCAGTCATTCTGTCTACAGAGAACCAAAAGTTAAATGTATTTCATTTATGTATCTTTTAATGCACATTTTTGTAATCTTTGAAACATTGTTTATCATTCTTTTCCCTAAGTTGACTTTGCATCAGGTCTGTGCCAGTGTAAACAAAATCAAGAATCTAGGCCAGCAGCTGTACATCGAGTCAAGGGCCAAATCACCAAAGAAGCAAGTGATGAAGACCGGCCCGGGACAGCGTGGTGGTGAGTCAGCAGGGTCACCCTGCCCCCCTCACAGAGCGGCCCTCACGAAGCCACGACTCTGAGCTGCTGCTGTTCAGATTTACGTGCCCAGATAACAAAAGTAACAGTACTAGTACTAATAATAACAATGGCAGCAGCAAATACTGTCCCGAAAGCTAAATGGTATTAGAATGTAGTCACAGTAGACTTCTACTAAAGAACTGACTTTTCTGCTAATTCCACCCAATTCGTAGATTCCCTCCATATGAGCTATCTGTAAACCAAAAGAGGTAATTTTAGAATACATTTCAGATAATAAAGTATATTAAAACGATAATCCCTCCCTTTCATTTCAGACAAATGGAGAATGTTTGTGACCTAAATTGAATGAAAAACTTGGCCTTTTTCTTGATTACATATTTACTTTTCTCAAATATGAGGTAGGGAGCACCCCAGAGGAATTGGATCAGTCGTGATAGTTGACGTTACTGTGAGAAGCTAACCTGCGTGCTTCTATATACAGAATTATATAGTTCTGTATATATAAAGTTTTATAATATAGAGATCAAATTATGCTAACTTCTTAACTTAGATAACTTTCTCTTAATTTTTCTCCTTGAATGTTAATAGCAGTATAATTTGGGAAGTCGTTACAGATTTTGGCCACCTAAATGTCATTGATGGTCCCTACCACTGTCAAATGTGGGTGTTCTACACAGTAGGGTGAAAATTCTTCTCTAAATTCAATAATAATAATAGTAGCTGTACTTTCCAGGACTTGATATGATTGCCACAAGAAAAATATCAAACTGCTGCTCCTACAGGTGATATCACTGGGAGCCCGTAGGACACCCTCCAGATACAGCAAGTCCCATCCTTTAGTTTTTTGGGTTTCTATTCATCTTGGCAGGAGGTTTCAAGTTTTGTTTGTTTCTTTTTCTGTAGACATAAGGGCACAAGGTAGAAATGATAACCCTTTTTGGTCCCATGAAACCATCAGATCTCCCCCACAAAAGAATTTATCTTAAATATCTTTCTTGTTGTGTATCATTATTCCATATCCTGCCAGAGGAAATTCTTTGAGGAGATTTTAATCTAAAATTTCTAGATGTTTTCTTCATTGTCTGATCCAGTCAGTGCTACTTGCTGCTGCCTTGGCTTATGACCTCATGTTAGTGCCACAATCTTACATCCTGACCTCTGGAATTTCTTCTCAGGGTAGAAATCCTTTCTAACCTCCTGCTTTATTCCGTTTCTTATCACCTGCCATTGCATTGGTCCAGCAATACCATCAGTACTGTTGTTTTGAAGGCTATATATTTAAGCATCATCCATATTCAATCATTCAACATTTTATAAAATTTAAGCTATATCTAGCCCTGTATACTTAGGCTGCTATTTTAGAAACTGAAATTTTCTTACTACTTAGCTATGTGCTATATTTGACTAATACACATAGGATGCCACTTTGGGGGGAAGTTATGCCATTTGGAATAACTTTGGAGAACTAATGTTATTTGGGCGTCTTATTTTTATTAACAGCTTAAGACCTGCAAGTTTAAAGAGCTAGTAAAAAAATCTTTATTACTCTTTACTGAAGAGAAACAAGAAGGTGACTTAAAGATAGAAAGCGTTGTAATTCGAATATTAGAAATTGAGTAGAGATATACACCAATGAAAAGGAAAATACTAAATGGTCACTGTACATATTTTTTATTATATACAGGGTGCTGGAGCACACAAGAACATAAGATTTTAAGTATGTATGTTTACCTTTCTTAAAAAGGCAGGTTATGCTTTAGAATAGAATAAGAAGGGAAACTTTTGGGTTTCCCTGGTGGTGCAGTGGTTAAGAGTCCGCCTGCCAGTGCAGGGTACATGGGTTCGATCTCTGGTCCGGGAGGATCCCACATGCCGCGGAGCAACTAAGTCTGTGAGATACAACTACTGAGCCTGCACTCTAGAGTCCATGAACCACAACTACTGAGCCTGCGTGCTGCAGCCACTGAAGCCCATACACCTGGAGTTCATGCTCCACAGCCAGAGAGGCCACCGCAATGAGAAGCCCATGCACCGCAATGAAGAGTAGCCCCCACTCACCGCAACTAGAGAAAGCCCACGTGCAGCAACGAAGACCCAATGCAGCCAAAAATAAATAAAATAAATAAACTTTTTTTAAAAAAAAGAAGGGAAACTTTTAAACTTATTACAGAAGGGCAAGGAACAACAAAGAGATGTAAAGTCCCTTCCTCAGCTATACAGACCGATGCCAGCTGCCAGAGAAGTAATTGGGGAAATTGGGGAAAACTGAACGTTCTACTGCAAGGGTGATGCAAAGCCCAAGTGAAAGAAGATGATTCATACACTGAACTAACTCAGAGTGAGAGTGCTTTGGTTTCTGCTCAGGGAGAGCTGGAAAGAGCATCATTCCAAACTTATGAGGAAAAAAGCCAGACAGGCAGCAAGTTCGTGTTCTTTCTTGAACCCATCAGGGTGCTGAGGTTACAGGGCAGCCAGCAGGCCTGAAATCTGAGGAGAGGCACATACTTGCAAGGAGAAGTGAGGTAAGTGCTGGATCCTGTGACTGACTGATTCAAGTCACCTACAAGAGACAGACCTTCTCTGAGGCACAGTGCAGGGAAGACCAAAGCCTGGAAGTGGAGCAGATGTTGGAAAAAAGAGCTCTCAGGAAACCAGCCTCCACCTGAGGCACAGAGTGTCACTAGAGGGATCTGAAAGCTGTCATACAGTGAGTAAAACCATAGCAACAACAAACCTCAGACCTGGCCTAAAGTTTAATTAGATTAACCAGAACACAGACCTAGTGGAAGGAAAGACATGCTCAGTCCCTACTGTCTTATACATGTTCACTTTTCAGCAAATTATGAAGCATATGAAAAGCAAGGAAAAAAACCTCCTAAGAGACAAAGCAGTTATCCGAACAAGAACAAGAGTCGGGTAGGACACAGATGTTGGAAATAACTCTGAATAATAAATACATTAAAAGCTCTAATGGGCAAAGTAGGTAACATGCAGAAACTGCCGAAGTAATCACAGCATCGAGATGGAACACGAAAGAAAGGATCAGGTGGAAATGTTAGAAATGCTGGAGATGAATATATGCCTTTGGTGGGCACTCAACCAAGAAAAGAATCAGTAAACTTGAAGATAGATAAATAGAAATTGCACAGATGAAACACAAAGAGAAAGGAACATACAAGATAGAGCCTTTTAAGAATTTGGGGACAAGATTAAATGATCTAACATATGAGTAATTGGAATCCCGGGAAAAATACTTGAAATAATGGCTGATTTTCCAGATTCAAAGAACATCAAGCAGCGTAAATACAAAAAAAAAAAAGGAAAAAAATAAAAACACCACACACTTGGGCATATCATATTCAAACTAAAATAAAACCAAAGAGAATGTCTTGAAGGCAACCAGAGGAAAATGATAGATTACAGAAAAACAAAGATAAGAATAAGAATTACAGGAGACATTTCTTCAAGAGACTGTGAACGTTAGAACACAATAGAGTAACATCTTCAAAGGAAAGAAACCATCAGCGTAGAATGGTACACGCAGTGGGAAGTATCTTTCAGAAATGAAGGAGATATAAAGATTTTTCTCAGACAAAAACTATGGGAATGTATTGCCAGCAGATCTGTTCTATAAGAATCCTAAAGGAATTTGTAAAGGTAGAAGGAACATGATGTCAGACGTAACACTTGGATCTGCACAAAGAAATGAAGAGCACTGGAAGTGGAATAAATGAAGACAAAATAAATTTTATTTTTTACTTATTTTTAATTACTGTAAAACATAACTAACTAAAGCAACAATAGTATTCTGCATGTATAACGTATGTAAAAATACTGCAAAGGATGGGAGTGAGGTATTAGGAATATACTGTGTAAATTCTTCCCATATTATAGTATTTGGAGTATACTATTTGGAGATAGAAACTGAGTCCTTAGAGATGTATATTGTAAACTTTAGGACAGTTATTAGTAAAAGTTTTTAAAGAAGTGTAAATAATGTCAGTAGAGGTGTTAAAATGTAATTTAAAATACTTAACCCAAAATGAGGTAGGAAAGCAGGAAAAAAGAAACAAAAAACCCAGATGGAACAAATGGAAAACAGCAAGAGGTACATTTTAATCCAACTACATCAATCCCATTAAATGTGAATGATCTCAGTATATCAGTGAAAAGACTTGGAAATTGTGAAATTGGATGAAAAAACAAGATGCAGCTACCTATTATCTACAAAAACTCATTATGAAAATTAAAAACATAGGTTAAAAGTAAAAGGTTAGAAAAGATATACCATGCTAACAGGAATCAAAGGAAAACTGGAAAGCTATATTAAGGTCAGACACAGTAGACTTTAGAACAAGGGCTTCAGAGAGATATTGCATAAAGACAAGGGGGGTGATTCTCTGAGAATATAAAACAATCCTGTTTATGCACCTAACATCAGAGCTTCAAAATACACGAAGCAAAAACTGATAAAAACTTCAAGGAGAAATAAACAAATCCACAGTGATAGTCGGGGACTGCAGCAAATGAAAACCGCGATGAGATATCAGCTCACACCTGTCAGAATGGCTGTCGTCAAAAGGACAAGAATAGCAAGTGTGGGTGAGAACGAGGAGGAAAGGGAGCCCATTTACACTGTTGGTGGGGATGTAAATTGGTGCATCCTCTATGGAAAACAGTATGGGGCTTCCTCAAAAAATTAAAAATAGAACTACCATATGATCCAGCAGTCCCATTTATGAGTATTTATCTGAAGAAAGTGAACACACTAATTTGAAAAAATATGTGCGCCACTATGTTCACTGCGGAATTATTTACAATAACCAAGATATGGAAACAACCTAAGTGTGCATCTGTGGATGATTGGATAAAGAAACTGGTATAGAGAGAGAATGGAATACTATTTGGCTACAAAAAAAGAATGACATCTTCCTTGTGGCAACATGGATGGACCTCAGGAGTATTATGCTACATGAAATAAGTCAGAGAAGGACAAGTAGCATATGATTTCACTTGTATGTGGAATCTAAAAATACAAACCAGAGCTCCTAGATACAGAGAATAAATCGGTGGTTGCCAGAGGGGAAGGGGGTTGGGAGGTGGGCAAAATGGGTGAAGGGGATCAGAAGGTACAAATTTCCATCTATAAAACAAATCATAGGGATGTAACGTGCAGCTTGGTGACTCTAGTGAGTGATATTGTACTGCAGATTTGAAAGTTGCTCTTATCACAAGAAAAACATTCTTTAACTTTATATGGTGACAGATGGTAACTAGATTATTGTGATCATTTTGCAGTGTATACAAATTTTGACGCATTATGTTGTACACTTGAGGCTGATAGAATGTCGCCTGTCAATTATACTTCAATTTTTAAAATATAAATTTCTAGAAGAAAACATAGGAGAAAATCATTGTAATATTGGGTTTGGAAAGAGGTTTTAGATATGACATCAAAAGCATGATCCATAAAAGAAAGAAATTGATAAATTAGACTTTATTGAAATTAAAACTGTTTCTTTGAAAGGCGTTGGTAAGACATTGGTAAGACAATGAAAAGACAAAATATTTGCAAATTATATATAAAGAGCTGTATCCAGAATACAGAAAGAACTCTCAAAATTTAACAATAAGAAGTTAAACATCCCAATTCTAAAATGGCCAAGAGATCTAAACACTTTTCCAGTGAAGATGTATAGATGGCAAATAGCATATGAAACAACACTCAATCTCATTGGTCATTAGGAAGTTAAAAACACATCACACACCCGTTAAAATGGCTAAAATTAAAAGAACGAAAACTGACAATACTAAGTTCTGGCAAGAATGCAGAGTAACTGGAGCTCTCACACGTTGCTGAAGGTAATGTAAAATTGTGCAGCCACTTTGGAAAATGCAGCAATTTATTATAAAGTTAAATATCTTATAAGCTTACCATATTACTCAGCAATTCCATTCTTAGTTATTTACCCAAGTGAAAAAAAGAAGCAAGTTCACACAAAATCTTGTCTGAAAATGTTTGTTTATTACACTTTATTCACACTCACCCAAAATTGGAAACAACTTCCATGTCATTCAGCAGGTGAGTAGATAAACTGTGATACATCCACCCAATGGAATACTACTCAGAAATTAAGAAAAATGAACTTGGGCTTCCCTGGTGGCTCAGTGGTTGAGAGTCCCGCCTGCCGATGCAGGGGACACAGGTTCATGCTCCGGTCCGGGAAGATCCCACATGCCGCGGAGCGGCTGGGCCCATGAGCCATGGCCGTTGAGCCTGTGCATCCAGAGCCTGTGCTCCGCAACGGGAGAGGCCACAACAGTGAGAGGCCCGCGTACCGCAAGAAAAAAAAAAAGAAAAAAAAAAGAACTTGATTCATGCAGCAATGCAGATGAATCTTAAATGCATTTTGCTAAGTTAAAGAAGCCAGAGCTAAAAGGTTGCATGTTGTGTGGTTCTGTTCTGGGAAGGCATTACTTCTGGAATACACTAGGTCCGGAAAACAGATCAGTATTTGCTAAGGTTGCGGGATTTGTTGACTGCAAAGAGGCAGCTGGAGGGAAATGCTTGAGTGAGAGAAATGTTCTTTTTGTTACTCTGGTGGTGGAATCACAACTGGCTGTGCATTTGTTAAAACTCACAGATCTGTTGTACCTCACCCCACCCCAGAATGTAGAGGGAACCCAAGATGACGTATAGGCTGTGACAAGTGACCCTAACCAAGTTACAAACTAATGGCATAAACCTCCTGAAGGAGGTGGGGAAGAAAGTTGCTGAGTAGCTTTGGAAATCGGTGTCTTCACTGGACACCCCAGCACTTAATCCAAAACATAAATGTACACAAAGACAGTATTCAGGAAACTGATTTCTCACCATAGTGCAGGCTAGCAATTCTGAAGCTACTTTACATGCACAGTAGAATTGAGCAAGTAGGCAAACACATTGCAGATAATGAGATTCCTCGCTACTGGAGAGGGACATAGCAAATGAGCAGAGGGAATGCTAGCGTGAACTCTGGTGCTGGATTGGAGTTGAAGGTATCAGCATGAACTCATGCCTTTTTGCTTAATGGATGGATGGATGGATGGGCAGACAAGAGTTGATATACATACAGATATATATTTGTTTTGTCCATTGAGGGGACCTACAAGGAGGGACACATTTACCAGTGAGCACACCCAGCACCCAGGTCTTGGTTCCTATGTGTTTTCCCCGTAAAAGAAACCAGAGAAGTAAGGAAGTAAGGAAGTGCTCAAGAAAAAAGGGAGAAAATGGCATGTCCGAGGGACACAGGAGACAACTTGAAAGAGCACGTAATGACCAAAACTGGAACAATTTGAGCAACAAAATAAATAATGATAGTATTGGATTATAACACAGCAAATGAGTATCCAGGAGTCCCCGCTGATAAATGATTGGATGCATAAATAAAAGGGAAAGGGGAGAAGGGAAACTCTTCCTAATAGAAAAAGCTTGATTAATGTAGGAGTAAAAAAAATAGGAAATTGCTATTAGAATGCCACAGTAGTCATTATGCTGTACACCTTAAACTTACTACTGTATGTCAATTATATTACAATAAGACTTTGAGAATAAAGAAAGAATTTCACAGTAGTAACTGTTGCAGGGCATATCCTCCAGTGAGTGCTAAAATTAGATGACAGGTTTTTTAAAATTGTGGTTTTAGGTATGTAATTTACTATTTTTAAATGTACAGTTTGGTGGCATTAAGTATATTCACGGTGTTGTGCAAACAATAGGTGAAAGTATAAAAGAAACAGGATATTTGCATGGCTTCGAAGTATTCCTCCAGAACATTTATTGCTTACATCTTTTATTACCTTGTAAAATAGTAACTTTACATAAGAGAAACCTGGCAGGCATCACCTTAACCAATGATCAAGGTTAATGTGTCAATAATAAAACATATCACCATCATGAACTGCACTTCTGTGGCAATTTTCCCCAAGATGCATGACCTCAACCTAATCATAAAACACCAGAGAAACGCAAATGGAGGGGCATTTCTAAAAAATCCCTGCCCCATAATCTTCAAAAGTGTCAGGATCATGAAAGACAAGGAAAGACTAAGGAGGCATTTGACAACTAAATTCACATGTGACAGCCTGGTTGGACTTCTGGACCAGAAAAGTGGCACTTAGTGGGAAAACAGGTGAAATCCCAATGGACTGTAGCTCAGTATGCCGTGGTTAATTTCCTAGTATCATTCGTTTTCCTATGGTTATGTGAGGTGTGACATTAGTGGAAGCTGGGTGAATGGTATATGGGAACTCTTTCATTTTTGTAACCCTTTGAAACCTTCAAGTTGAAAATTATTAAAACATTAAAAGTAAAATTAGGGCTTCCCTGGTGGCGCAGTGGTCGAGAGTCCGCCTGCCGATGCAGGGGACACGGGTTCGTGCCCCAGTCCGGGAGGATCCCACGTGCCGCGGAGCGGCTGGGCCCGTGAGCCATGGCCGCTGAGCCTGCGCGTCTGGAGCCTGTGCTCCTCAGCGGGAGAGGCCATGACAGTGAGAGGCCCGCGTACCGCAAAGAAAAAAAAAAAAAAAAGTAAAATTAATGAGTGAAAGTGAAGCAATTTTCCATAATTCCCTCTGAAAATAGAGAAGCCTCTTCCAAGCAGCTAAACTAACCTTTATTAATAGTATCAACGGCAGCTAATATGTCTTAGTCTCTCAACAGCATTTCCGTAATTCTTTACTCTTCTTCCTTGAAATAGTTTCCTCTCTTGGTTTCCACGACACCAGACCTTGCAGGATCTGTCTCTTCCCGGATAAGTCTCCTTCTGGCTTATTCTCTACTGAAAGTTCAAGTTCTTCAGCGCTCCAGACTGAGGTCTTTTTTCCTCTCTCTGTACCTCTGCTATCTGGTATGGTAGCCACTAACCACATTTTGCAATTTAAATTCAAATTAATTACAAATAAGTGAAATGCGACATTTAGTTCCTCAGGTGCTGTAGCCGCACTTCAGATGCTAGTCGCTGGGGCTGGTGTTAGTGGCTACCAGGTTGGACAGCACAGATGAAGGACAATTCTGTCATTGTAGAATGTTCTGTTGGACACCAGTTCAACACAGGCAGTGCTGAGTACTCTCCATTGCAACACATAAACAATGCACTATGTCTGTCATCCCCCTTAGTGATGCCAAGATCAATCAGTTGTACAGGTAGTAACGTTGTGAAGGTCCCCATCAACCTTTCACCTTTGGTTTTATTCCTTGGTAATCTTTGCCTGAAGCAGTTGTTTTACTCCTTTTTTAAAAAGATACATGTGAAATTATTCATGTAATTGTTCTAGGTGATATCTTTCTATATCAGTGCATTTAGATCTGAGCTCATTTTTAATAACTACATAACATTGATTGTATATGTCCTAAAGTACCATGTATATCCCAAAGTACTATTTAATTTTGCTGAATAAGTACATATTCTCAAGCATGTGATATTTTAAATTGTGCATCCTTTCATTCTCTTTCAGATGAGCAGAAGGCCTTTTCTTCCTTCCAGACATTAAAAAATAATAGGATGTACACCGAGTCTTGTGAGGATTTGAGAAGGTATCAGCGTAGCCCATCCTATCAGCAAATAAACTGTATTGATAGCGTTATCAGGTATGAGACACAGGTTTTGATAACATGTTAGTTTTTCCAGAAGCATATGTTGTCACTATGGGGCCTTTATATCTTTTTTTTTTTTTTTTTTTTTTTTTTTT